TTTTTTCCCTTCTTTTTTTTTGAATTATCCCCTGAGGGGTTGCATCGTTCCTGGAAGTACTACAATACCAGGTCGATGAGTAAAGTGGACAGAGCAAGCTCCTATTCCATCTCCCTCCTCCAAAAATCCATTTAATATATTATCCTCAGATAGAGGACATAGCAGTTATTAAACTGATAAGAACAGATACTACACTTGATCTTAGTCAAAAGGCTGAGAAGTCATGCTATCATTGTTAATTAATATGGTCCTTCATTGTCATCATTCCTTATGTTATGTTATTATAATTCTGGACTCTATGCTGTAGCTATTTGGAAGGTATTCTCTGTTATAAGATTAAGGTGGTAGGTATCTTCAGATTTGACTAGAGATTGTGACTTAACTCACCACCACCTGTTTCTCTAGGGGTGTGGGCTGCTAAAAGATTTAATTAAGCTTCATCAAAGCCATCCTTCTGTGCATAAAAATCATATCAGACACAGAGAGAAGTCTTTGGATCATTGGGAGAACGTGCTCTAGAAGATTGATTTTATATCCAATCTCTTTGCTCCACTACCTTTCTGTTAGTTTGTCATATGGTGGAGGGTTGTGTGTTGCTATGATGCTTGAAGCTATGTCATTGGTATTTCAAATGCCAGCAGGGTCACCTAATGGCACAAGTTTCAACATAACTTCCAAACTAAGAACAGACACAGCTTCCCACTTCCCTGGAAAGATCCACTGGAAACATGCATAGCTTCAAAACATTGCCAGATACTAACGTTCTAATGAATGGAAGCAGAGCATGTTGGAGATGTGTCTGAGGATGGGCTCATTGGGTCCAAGGACACTCATATATAATTCTTCAATCAGCTCTTCAGGAGCTGATTTCTTGGGGTGGAGCCAACAATGGTGAAGTGAGTTGGGTAAAGCCTGTGGGAGTGCAGCCTTCATTGGCTTATGGTTCATGACTCAGAGTAAGGAGAAAAAGCTGGAAAAATATGCTGATTGTAACGTTGAATGTGAAAAATGTGCATCTAACATTTTTTGAGGTTGCAAAAAATGGAAAGGAACACATAAAGATCAATATCCTAGGCATTACTGAGCTGAAATGAACTGGAATTGACCATTTTGAATCAGAAAATCATATGATTTCCTCTTCTAGGAGTAAGATAATGAAAGGGAATGGCATTGCATGCACTGACCAAAGGATATTGCAAAATCAATCATAAAGTACAATGTTGACTGAACTTGGATAATATCTATCCATCTTCAAGGAAATTCAAGCATGCAATTATTATTCCAATATATGCACCACTAACAAAAGCTACTGATGAGGAAATTGAGGGATTCTAGCAATGACTTCATTCTGAAATTTATTAAACAAGCCATACAAAGGCATTGATAATTATTGACTATTGGACAGCAAAAATTTGAAACAAAGAGGAAGAAACACTTCTTGAAAAATAAGGACTTGGTGATAGAAACAATGTGGTAAATAATATAAGATATTTTTACAATGATCTGTTCATAGCAAATGCTTTTATGGACTTCTCAAGATGGAATACACATAAATTAAATTGAATTCAACTGTGGGAGGAGACTATGGACAATCTCAATATCAACAGCTGAAACCAGACCAGCATCTAACTGTGGAATAGAGATCAATTGCTTATGTGTAAGCTCGGGATAAAGCTGAAGAACATTAAAACAAGTCCACAAGAGTCAAAATTTGACCTTGAGTATATTCCACTTGAATTTTGAGAACATATCAACAACTGATTTGACACATTGAACAATAAAGACATAAGACCTGTTTTGTTTCCATTTTTTTGGGGGGAGGGCATCAAGTACATAATTTATGACGAAAGCTAAAAATCATTAAAACAACAGGAAAGAAAGGAAAGATCAAAGTGGATGTCAGAAGAGTCTCTGAAACTTGATTTTATTCATAAAGTAGTTAAAGAAAAAGAAAGGAATATTGAAATCAAGAGCCAAATTGAAATTTCAAAGGCAAGATCAAGAAGATGAAACAAAATATAATGAATTATACAAACACTTAGAAGTAGAAAATCAAAAGGAATTCAGTGTATCATAAAATAAAATAACATAAAAAATCCAAGCCTTACATTGCAATCTTGAAAGATTTTGTGGGTGAATATTGAACTCTGCAGGAAGCATCAAGAAAAGATCGAAACATGGAATCAAGGTACCAAAAAGAGCTAGTTGACATTCCACAATATCAGGAGGTGGTATATGAGCAAGAATCAATGTTGCTGAAGGAAGAAAAGCTTCATTGAAAGCATTAGCCAAAAATAAGGCTACAGGAATTGATTGATATCAATGGAAATCTTTCAACTTCAGGCGATGAAGCCTTGGAAATATTCACTCATCTGTGTCAGGAAATTTGGAAGACTTGAAATTTGCTTGTTCAACTGATCAGAAAAAAAA